AGCTTTGTCACGAAGATTGTGTAAAGGCTATTTTTAAAAGAAATACACTTTTGTAATATTAATTGTAAGTATTTCGTAAATTGTGGATGGAAAATTTAGTTCGTTTCGACTGCTCTTATTCACTTAATTTTATATTTTCCAAATATATTTTGTATTCTTCGTATCAAAGATGGAAATCTATTAAATACCGTCAGAGACATAAAATAAATAGATCAACAGACCTCCTCCTGTGTTCACGAGGAATTTAAACATGTGAAAATATACGGAACACACACGATACGTAAAAATATTCATCCCGAAAATGAACGAAACAAATTTCGGTCTCATTTCCACTCCTCCGTTATAATTATATTCACCAAAATATTAATTTACATAGAACGTACGTAAAGTGTAGTAGAAATTTAAATTTCCAAAAAAATTTTAAAATCGAAAAAAAAAAAAAAAGAAAATTCTTTACTCAATTCTTCGTCAAATTCAAAGATCGAAACTTAAAATTTTCCGAACGTTCCCCGTTTCCTTTCTCGACCCAGAAGGTCGCTAATCGCATAAACCGACCATAAACCGACGAGAAACGGTGTCCATATTTACACATAATCGTGCAGAACGAGCATTAATCCCATTAGTGGCCAAGCTGGCTCGCGCGTGCGCCATTACCTAGCCGTTACATCGAATCTCGCGGATTCGTTCCGCGTGGTCTCGGCTGTCGCCAAATCAACAATTTGCGCTAGTTAACGAAGGCGCATCGGCTGGTCGAAAGATAATGTATTCCCCGCAAAAAAGCCTGTGATTGCCGCCGCCATTGTGGCGTGCTTCGGCGAGGAACGGGACCTGCGACACGTGGGCCACATGCAAATGACAACACGTCTTCCATCATCATCTTCGATACGTCGGCTACGTTGGAGGACCATCGTGGTGAATCGGATCTTTCTCCAGTGTGGAGAAGTGTGTGTTTAAAGAATGTGATGAAGATCTATTCTTCGTCAGAATTTCGAGCGATGAAATTGCGGAATTAACGAACAGAGGATTTTCAGATGGCGCTCGATGGTGTCTCGAAGGCTTTAGATTTTTAAGCTTTCGAATTTTTGTAGATTTGAGGATTGAATTCTCGAAGTTTTTTCACTCGATAAAATTCTTCTGAAATTTTTCACTGATCCCGATACTATATTAAGTTTCTCGAAAAATTACGATCATTGTGTTAGCAGTTTCATAATTGTAAGATCAAAGGATAATCTATTTTTTTATTTATTAATATGTAAGAAAATAACCACTACTTATAATTGAACTGATGGAAATGATAATATACGAAGGTTGCACGGAATACAGATTGTCATAAATTAATAACTAATAAACGTGATTTCATTTCGAAAAAGGAACTATGCATAGCAATTACACATGTTAATGGAATAATTTCGCAAAGAGAGAGAGAGAGAGAGAAGAAAAAGAAAATAAAAATATAGTAAATGATAACCTACCAACATTATTATTATTATACCGTATATGAATATCTTAAAATTTAAAAAAAAAATTTAATAAAATCTCAAAAATCACAAATATCACCTAAATTTTATTTTATTTCACGTTCGAATTACGAAAATTTAATTTTATCCAAACGTTTAAAACACTACACTCCCGTTCGAAACGAAAAAACGCGATTTGAAAGAAACAAAGCGTCGCTGTCACCAGCGAAACAGCCCCTTTCGGGAAAGGAAGGAAAGAAAAAAAAAAAAAAAGGAAATTAGGCAATTTCGCGACAAAACGTCGTCGAACTGTCCGAGAATAGTCGTCCGGGGAGCAATTTCGTTTCGTAGGGAAAGAAGAAAAAGGAAGAAAAAAAATCAGCGGAGCCCCTCTTAATTAGAAGAGCCCGACGAATAACCGAGCCCGATTCGCCAAGATAAGGCTGTTGGGAATTTCGGCAGCTAAGTGGCAGCCTATTCGCTACCGACAGCTTCCACGGCCTCCTAATTGTCAAGATCGAGAACCGTAATTACACACTTCGACATTAGTTCCCCCTCCCTCCCCCCCCCTTCGACTCCTCCATCTTCCATTCACTCCTTCCCCTCGTTACTCTCTCTCTCTCTCTC